AAAAATATGGCATGACGGAAGATTATTAAAAAGAAGTTTGAACCTTAATAAGGAGTTTTAGTATATAATACAAGATTGAGATTATTTCTAGGAAAACTAAAATCCAGATGGTTAGGACCATTTAAAGTGATTAAAGTCTATCATTATGAAACTGTTGTAGTTAAAGATCCTAGCACTGGAAACTTATATAGAATTCTATGTCAACTTATATAGAATTACCCAAGGAGTTGTCCTCGTACGAGGTAAGGCTGTACCATTTACTCCAGCGTGAATTAATGAGTTATATATGATAGAAAACATTACAGTCTGTTATTATACAAATTTTATCTCAACGAGAGATTTGATGCAAGATGTCTATAGTTTTCTGACGAATGAAAGTGATATTTGGGAAATGCGAGATGAGGGATGTGTTTGTTTCTCTGCTTCATTACTTAATCCAATATTGAAACAGTGGCATTTCTTCGTTTGTACAAAATTACTCCTTACCATGAAGATTAGTAGAGTCACACAAAAAAGTGTTATTTTAAACTATTACATTCAAATGAAAAAGCCCATTGATGTAGGATATATTGATGTAGAATCTATTATGAGTATTATTATGAATGGGCCAATATATGGACTTGGGCATCCTTCCAAAATTTTCCTACTTTGCAGTCAATCTCAAGTTCCATATGAAAGTTGGGAAAAAAGTTTTATTATCTTGGGAGCCCATGTTTCCTATTGATGATAATTATATTGGGAATGGAAATGAAGCATTAGATGCTATCTTAGATCATTCATCACATGCTTTAACTCTATTAATGCTACAAACAGTTGGAAGTTCACTCGGTTTAGAAAAGAAAATGAAGAAAATTGAAAGAGAACTTGAGAGTATTTCAAATGAAATAGAAATCTTAAATACCTTTTCAATCACCTAGATTGGAGGTTAAAAGAGAATTTTGATCATACTGGAACAATTGAAGCATGATTGGTTTGGATGTTTAAAAAAAAGGGTGGATCGAAGAAAATTCAACTGATTAATTCTCGTACCGACCCTTCTACAATTAGTACGTTCATTACCAGTCTATGGGAGATATTAGAGGAGGAGAAAGCACTGAAGAAGAGGCTGAATAATTAATGAAGTTGGACTCTCTACTAGTTTAAAATACTTATGTATTTAATGTGATTCTGTGGATTTGATTTAGTTTGCATTGCTTTAGAATTCTGAATTTTGACTGTGTGTATAGTTTTGTGTCAGCGTTTAGTTTTGTTGCTTGATTTCAAAGCTAATTTATAATTTAGTTTGCTTTATATGTATGAAAGTGTGATTAGAAAAATGTATTTGTAAAAAGTGTATTTTCATATATAAAAGTTAGTTTGGTGTTGTTTGTGAAAATGTTTCTTTGTGAATTATTGTTAAATGAAAATTAGTGCTGAAAAAGACTAAATAAACTTTAGAGTATATTGAAAGAAAATTAAAATTTAAAAAAATAAAAAATAAAATTTTAGGCCTTCAGCACCGACAGCACTGGCATGGATGCCGACAACGCCCTCGACCTGAGAACACATTAAACCCCTTAAAATTCACAATTTGCACCGTAAAACTCCATTTTTAGTCACCTTCAACCTCCGATTTTTGTACCTAGGGCTTGATTTTGCCAGGATTTGAGGCGATTTTAAGGCAAAGAAAGTTTGAATTTCATCTTCTTTAGGTAAGTGCTACCATTTAAACAATAATTTTTTTATTTTCACCAAGAATTTATCTCACATTGCCGAGATTCGAAAATTATGGAATTTATTGAGAGATTTGGAGAAAATCCTTTGGTGAGAATCTATTACCTAGTAGATTTAAGATTTATTCATTTTACATTGTGATTTTCAGAATTTTGGGAAATTATTCAAATTTTTATCAAATCTTGTTAGATTTCCCATGGCACCAAGAACGAGCAAAGGAAAAAAGAAAAGTAGATTGTGATGAACAAAAATTTGTCAGCTTCAAGGCAAGTGCTCGATTCAATACTCTACTTGAAAATAAAAAAGAAATTCTGGATTGTCGATTCAAAAATTTGGGAGGAGAAGTCGAGCGATTCATCAATGCTTGGTAGGGGGAAAATTTTTGTTATTTTACTGCAGATACGATTATT